AATTCTGAAAAAAAAAGCCAAGCAGCAGTACAGTGAGCAAGTTCAGGAAAGGAAACAGTATAAACAGACATTTCTCTCCTCTGTCACAGAGACAAACTGGTTCAGTACTGGCATATGAGTTACTTACATCATTATCTCATACTCTTTGACAATCTGAAACATTTCTGTGTTAACAAGCACAGAGTTATTACTCCAGGACCTTCTGTATTCCTGTTGTCTCCCACCACGATCCCTGCAGGCAGGCATAGCCAGCACCTGGACAGTGACTGCAGCCCTCCTGCACCACAGCAGGAAACAGCTGCACCTGCTAGAACTGAGTGCAGAAAGCCTGCAGCTTGGTTTAAAAGGTTTAAGCTGCTTCCCAAGTGTGCGTATTGACAAAGCAACTCTTTTGTATGTCACTCTATGGGGTATTCAGGAGAAGTCCTGCCAAGTTACACAAAAGATTTGAAAGCTTGTAGGTAGTAAATGTTCAGTTTCAACAGTATTCATTCATGGGCTTTGTGCACTTGAATAGTCCTGCTGTTTTCAATGGAGCCACTTATATAAACAAGTACTCTACAAAATAAAGAGGGGTTATATGCCCTGTTTTTTTATTTTCGTTTGGGCCATTTGTTTAATTAAAATACAATTTACAGTAAAAATGATATTTTAATGGCACATGGCACCTCAGAAGGTAACCTTGCCTCAAAGGTGAAACATAAGGGAATTTTTAAAATAATTTTATGTGTGACCCACTTCAATATTTAAGAAAAAGGTGCTCTCTAAAATTAAAGAGGGCTGTAAAAAAAACAACAAAGGGAGGCTGTGTTTTTTACATAATAATAATTTACAAAAACTAGTTCACTGTGAGGTTCTACAAGTTCAGAAAGACTAAATACAGAAGTCTGTCCAGAGGCATCATAATCACAGCTTTTTAAAATGTTGGAATGGTTAAGTTAAATTAAAAAATTATTTATGGTCTGATGTTTTCTGAAAGACAGGATGGACCACAAATATTTGCTCATAAATATCTGCAGATTGTGTTCTGGCTTCAGATTGATTCTCAAGAACCTCTAAAATGCCACAAGGAATCTTTTTATTAGTAGCTTTGAAATCAGGCAGTGTGTTTCCTAAAATTAATATCTCTTCTTAAAGTATCCAGTTCTATTTCATGCTTGTAAAAATAAGGCTAAATGAAACTGCTGTACCTGAGGCCCAAGAAATTTTTAGCTGTTCAATGTTCACTTTCTTTTTATCTCTTCAACATTGTTTGAGTCATAGAATGAAGCAAGAAGTTCTGTGTTAATATAGGAAGCCAGCCATATCCTTATTCCTCCATGAGTTGAAACAGTTTCATGAATATCTAGCATATCTAGCATCCATTCCAAAAGAGACAAACAACAAAATGTGTTGAGGCTTCCATACAGGGCATATATTTGAGCTGAAACTCAGTTTGAAATTTTCATAATTGACTTATGGGTCCATGGAGAGATTCAGTCAGGACTAGTGAGTTTTTACAGTGGACACTGTACCTACATATGTGATCTGTAAATTTCTCAGCCCTGTAAGAACAAGGCAAGAAGGAAATATGAATCTTAAATTTCTTAACCTAATCTTAGAAAATATGTTTTTTAACATGTCTCCATGTTACAAAACATATTTCTGAGCACCACCGAAGAGCTGATCTGTTGGGTAGCCTTTAGGTGTAACTTGACATTTGGTTCCCACATCTTTCATGGTGTCCTTGTCTGGGACTACCCCAGTAAAAAAACACTTGTACTGTAGCCTGTGTACTGGCTACAGTGGACTGTGGACTGTGTACAGATTATTTCCTTCTGATAAACTACAGATATTTTATTCGTTGTAATTATTTCAGTTTTCTGATTGTTGAGTTTATTGTCCTCACTGGGATAATGCTATATCAGATGTGTACTTGCATATCTTGTTTTGCAGAGTGCATTTGCATTAGGTTATTGGTCTCCATTTAAAACACATGCTCTCATTTCTTACTGCACAGCAATTCTGTTCAAAAACTTTACAAGGTAGCAGATGTACTGCAGATCTGGAAGAGCTGATCAAAGCATGACACATTCCCCTCCAGAGCATAGTGAGTTGCAGGCAGTCATTCAACAGCTATTGGGTAGTTGATAAAATATTCACCAACTAATTTATAAACCAGGGCAGTTTGCCATGGTTATCTGAAATATGCCAGTACTTTTCCCTAGTCCATCATTCACTTCTTACAGAGGTATGTGTATCTCCACTGTAACGTGCTTTTCGGGGAGGAGGTAAAGAAAGTAGCTGTATGGATGTCTTTTTTTCACATGTAAGATTAAATATTCTTTGCCCTTTTTTCAGGCAGCTATTTAAAAGACTGAAAGAGATGCTTTCTGATACTTATAAGGGTATTTTTTTTGCTGTTGGTTTTTCAACAGATAAGAAATGGAAAAATCATGTAATCTACTAATTGCATGCCTGCTTCCTTCAGACTATCTTTTCTGAAGAATAGTGCTCTGATACTACCAGGTATTTGCAGTGAGAAAAAGAAAGCATTGCAAAAGGAAAAGTGCAGCTCATTTTCTATTTTCCACTGTGTAGCTATGGAGTTAAAAAACCCTGGAATATAGAATTATAGAGAGACTTTTTGTTGGTTTGTTTTAACAGCAGCACTTTACAGAACACTTGATGTGAAGAGGACAATTCACAAGAATATAGGAATGATCTCTCAGGTTTACCTGTTATAGCACTCTACTGCCACTACCCAGAAGAAAAAAACGTTTTCATCTCCTTAAGAAAGTAAAGCAAGCACTTACTGTTGGCACTAACCACCAGCAGCCCTGCCAAAGGGATGCTGTAGTGCTATTCTTCACACTGATGTCAGGGTGGCACCTGCTGGGAGTTCTCCTTCATCCTTCAGGTCTACACAGTCACAAAACTTCTGGGGTGAAACTCTGGCCGACTGGGATGTGCTAGACACAGATTTCTGGATATTTATTGGACACAATTTCACCCCATTTTTTAGTCATTATTATAGTTTCATTATTGAAATAAAAGGCAATAGAGTTTCTTATAAGTACAGATGGTGAAGGGAGGTCTGCTATTTTCAGTTGTCTTCCCTCAGGATCTTACCTGTGACATTAAAATGACCCCATCTTACTTGGTCTTCATTTGCCCCATAAGTACCTTCTTAATGTCAGAGAATTAATTCACCTCTCCAGACAGGGTGTTTTGATTCAAAAGCTTTCATGAACTCCACGTGAAAGGAGTGAATAAGCCACAAAAATTTTAGCAGTTATGTGAAAAAAACATCATGTAGAAAAAAAGACTACTCCTGAGGTTGCATTTCAAAAAGATCTTGGCAAAAGAGAGGACTCAGAAGCACTATAATCTGCAAAGTAATGCTTTCTAAGATGACTCTAAACAGTGTAATGAATGCAGAGATTTGTGACACATACAAGATATAAATATACTAATCATGATATAATTATCAGTCTTACCTGGACCCTGCATATAAGGGCAACCAATAGTAGCATAAATGTGTTTTATAGCACTGTGAGGACATAATTTTTAAAAACAATTTTTATAAGTATATTAAGGAATATGATCACCAAATGGTCAAAGTAGCAGATACCTAAGCATCAAAACCTGGCATACATGAGACTTGATTAGAAAAGCTGACTGCAAATAGACAGACTGGTTATCATTCAAAGATGGAAGGCAAGCAAGAAAATGAAAAAAAGTGCAAATGGTGTTGGCAAGGAGTGTAACAGAATGAAACCATGTGACATAAACAAAGGAAAGTGAAGGAGTGAGACAGCTAATTTAGCTTATGAATGTGTCCTTCAGGAGCTATCAAGTCAGACTTTGACAATTGAGAACCATCAGATACTGTAAACAACATCATAATTTTCAGCATCAGCTTTGGGGTAGTGCACACTTAGAACCAATTTTAAACGATTGTTAAAGATCAAGTTTTGTAAGGAAACTGATGAGATTAATATTATGCAAAATTTAACCATTAACATGAAGTAAACTACTAATTTTTAATTCAGTAATAATAAATTTTACAGTGTAAAACTGACCTAATTTGGCAGTCTTCTGATCCCATACTCTGAATCCCAGACTCTGATTCCCTTAGTGACAGAAATGCTTTTACTTGCAACAACTTAGTCTCTAGGAAGTGTTCCTTGCCAGCTCAATGGGAGGTAGACTAAATTTTGAGAGAAGAAACTTAGCAGTGGAGGAGGGAGAGGAGAAGGTGCTGAAGTTTACTCTTTTGCTACATGAGTACACCATGCAAATCAAGATCAAGGCAGCTCTGTGGCATCATCTACTAACATTGCACCTTGTTTAGTAAAAGGGTGACACCAACTGAACTTTTTTGCTGTTTTTGATGTGGAAGCAAGGCACTTGGCAGTAGTGTGATAAAACACAGACAAGTTCTTTAAGGAATTTGTTCTGGAGGCAAAGAAGAATAAAAACTAAGAATGCACTTCAAGAAAAAGCAGTATGACTGCACTTGCACACAACTACTGAACAAGAGCAAGAAGTAGAACCTTAGTCAATAATCTCTGGGGGGTAACCCTCATGTGATGTGGACAAATACACATTTCTTTATGTTTGCATCACATTTTCTTTCTGTGTTTCCATGCTATTACCCAGGAAAATCTATTCATTTAGAAGTTATTAATCTTACTATCAAAAAAATATAAATGTGCAAAAACTAGCATGCAGAACAAATGCTCCTGCTCACCTAAAACATAATACAGTACAAAACCAATGACTAGTCATTTGGAAAAAGCTGTCAGTCTCCCAGCACTACTTTATTGATTCAGGTTTATCTCCTGAGAAGATTAAATCTTCCTAGTGCACCCATTCTTCTACTCTGTATAAATGATAAATCTTCACTTTATTGCTTGTTTTTTTACCTCTGAAACCTGAGTGCAATTATACATCGCTGTCCTTGTACTAAATATTCCTAGTTCTTTAGTTTATTTAATGGGCTGCATCAATCCTACCTAACATTGTCATGCCTTTGAATGTAAATCTTGTGGAAAATCCTTTCAGGTGGCTTCAGGAAGTCTTCCTTCATTTCCATTGCAACGTTCCTGGGCAAAAGGCTCATCAAGAGACGTTCCTAAAAGAAAATATAAGCAACATCAGTTTTGTGGTATAGTGTATGACCATTTTTCTAAGTTTTAAACTAGCAAACTGGACAATCTTCTCTTAATCTGCTGTCTTAAAAGGTCTGCTGCATAAATAATATCAACCATTTCTCTCAAACTCCTGCAAACTGTGTGGGTGTCTCCTTTTAAGTCTTCTGCTAAAAGACTAAAAAAAAAAAAGAAAAATAAAAAAAACACACCAAAAAAAAACAACCCCAAAAACCAAGAAACAAACCCCCACAACTAACCAGAAAAAGCAAACCAAAAAAGCCAGCCTCAAGAGCATATAATTGTCCATATTTTTTATTAACATTACAGTTCTAATAATAGCAACTTGCTTTAGTCTTAGCAGCATTTATCTGTCTGAGAAAGACTTCCCAGGATCATTTGCTATCTTTTTGTGTGTTCTTTTTCTTCCTGGATAATGAAAGTGTTACATTACAAGGACTATGACAGCTGGTTATTAAGCAGTGAGAGTAGATGATGGATTTATCCACTGTCAAATTCAGTGGAATAGTAAGCACAGTTTTAATGGCATCTTAGCCAGTGTGGCAATGTCTTTAATGAACTGCATCAGTACAAAACCCTAGCTAAACACATCTTCTTGCTATACTCACAGAGAAATTTTTAGATCGGGTCACTGACCTGCATAAAAAGAGTCTAATATTATGGATCTTGTCAGTATTGGCTATAAAAGCCCATGTAGTTTTTCCACATATTCTGACCCATTCACAGGAACCATCTGGAAAATCTGAAACTGCTGTTCTTAGGTGTTGTAAGGGGTCCATAGATACCTACTCAAGATACCTACCTACATGCACACATTCATTCATTTTATTTTCACCCAGAAAATGCTCGCCATTTAAAATGCATTTCCAAGTTTATCCATCAGACCTGCTAGTTTCAGCCATTCGTTCAGTCTGAATGAATTCATATAACCACATCTGATCTGATTCAGGAATCTTGGGTTCCAGAGAAAAACGGATGAGGCTAGGAGCAAGGAAGGTGTACCTTTGATGGAAGAGGATTAGGTCAGTGAATAATTAAGTAAACTAGATAGATGTAAGTCCATAGGCCCTGACAGGACACATTCACAAGCTCACTGAGTGAGCTGTCAGATGCTGCTATAAAGTCACTCCTAACAGTCAAACATGGTGACTGGGAGAAGTGATGCAAGACTGCAGAAAGGAAATGTCACTTCTCTAGAAAAGAAGGAGGATGCAGGGAACTGCAGGCCAGTCAGTTTCACCTTGGGTCCTGAAAGTGATGAAGGATCTCATCCTGGAAACCAAGGTGGTTAGACCACATGACTTCCAGAGTGCCCTTCCTGCCTCAACTATTCTGTGATTCTGTTATCTGACAGTCAAGAGCCACTGTAATGGCAGCTACAAGATGTCACAGAAATGCATATTTTGGCCGAACCTCATCCTTCTTTTCTTTAATCAATATTAAATAAATAAGGAGCAAAAATTAACACTGAGAAGAGGGTTAATAATATCAGCAAGTGCTATTATGTTGCTAACATGCCCACATTCACCAGATAAAGCCATTAACTAATACTCAAAGTTTATTCAAAGGGTTTTTTATCTTAACAGTTTCTTCTGGAAGACACATTGAAAAAAGTAAGAAGTTAAACTTTGCAGAACGTCTCTGGTTAATTTTGGACTAAAGTTCTGTCGTGTTTATGGTGGTCACATTGTCTTGAGGCTATGGACTGTTAGCTAACTCTATTTCCTACTCTTCTTAAATATATGTAGCAGAACATTCCTTCCTGCCACAGAAGAGCTTATCTGCTATGTCCATCAGCTGGTGCATAGCTCTGGACATTCTGCCCCTCACAAGAATTGGTGACATAACCCAGGCTGGACAGATGTTGAGCAGTGCGTTATCTCTGGCACCAGGGAGGTGAGATCCCCACCTGACAATAAATATCTCGTCTTGAGAGTGAGATGCAGGGAGATGAGCTAGGAATTCCCAACTGTGAGACACATTACTTTACTAACTATAAAAGCTATACAAATTTTCATGGAGGTAGAAGCGTCTGACACACACCCTGGAAATGTGCAGGACTTCTCCCACAAGTTTGGATGCAAGTTTTGCAGTTACATTCCTGGGAATTGAGAGGAAGGATCCTATGTGTGCCCCATCAGCAACTGGATGGTAAGCTACATGGAATCCTAATCTATGCTATTTCTTTACTAGCTGTAATAGTAGGCACTTCAGTTGTGCACTGTGGTTATCTGGTAGTAGTGTTTCTTTTGCTTATCCTGTGTAGTATGTCATCTGTTAAAGTTTTATGTCTGTTAAATTTGGGTGAAATAAATAAATAAATAAATAAATGATAATTAAATAAATAATTTTGTAATAGATCTAACTGACCATTATTAAGAACCTGTGAGTGAGAGTGATCTGGGCTGCAGGCTACTCCCAACAGAGCTACTGCCAGAAATCTGAGTCTAAGGCAGGACTTACTTAAGCTCTCCTCTACATTCGTAACAGTGTACACCAAGAATATGGCAAAGAATATTATGGATTTCAATATTTGTTGACATTTTACACGTATAGCCATTTCCAATTAACCAAAGCCTTTCACATCACTAACAAATGGTTATTCACTCTAAATTTTATGCTGATTTAATTAAGTAAACTTATATTTCTGCAGCAGAATTGTATTTGGGTAACACAAATTTTGGGTTACAATCCAAAACAAGTATTTTGCCCATAGTGGATCTTATGAAGATCTGTTGACTGCTACTTGTGTCCTAAAGTTGATTTACAGTGTTAAGAGAAATAAACTGAGGTTATAAAAGGAGATGACCACCTCTCAGGCAATAAAAAGCACATACAAGAGAGGAATTTGGACAGATGGTTATATTCCCTGATGCTTAAGACCGCAAAAGTGATGGAATTTCATAAGTATTGCTCTGGATAAGAAGTTTACAATGTCTGATAAGGACTAAATGCTCTCTGGAGCTTCTCTTGCAGTGAACACATTAAACAAGATTTTCACCATTTTGCTGAAACGGATTAGTAAAATCCAAAACTGTTAAGGAGAGACTGGGTTTAGACTTCTGTTTCCTAGAAAGTCAAACTTAACCAGACAAAAAAGCAAATAAAAATTATAGTGACAGACTCTTCCAGAGAGTAGTGCTAACTGAATAGTTCTTCTATGGCCTGCAAACACAATTACAATACGTGAATAAAAAGCTCACAGATAATGTCTGCAGTGCATGGCAAATAACATGCAACCCAGGGAAGTAATTAGAATCATTACTATGAAGGCAGCATTGGAGAGCTGTAGGATGTAGCACCTGACTGCATTGAAATGTGCAGATGTCAGATGTATTAAGGGAGGCTACAACAATAATGATTCTTATACACATTAGGTTGACTATAACAAGAGCTGAAGGGAACATATGAAAATCCTCTATCAAATTATGATGACTTGCTTTTTTCATTAGAGATGAGAGTGAGAGGGAGATGAGATTAGAGATTAGATTCCTCACCAAGTGAGGAAAGATGCAGTTATGGCTTTCTCAAAGGGCAGCCACTGCTGACCTTTCAGATCAAGAAGGGAAGCAGCAGCATGACTGTAAGCAGCATGACTGCATGATTTGTCCCTTAAGGGGAGACTGGAAAATGTAACCTGCAATGCAGAGTATCAAAACACTGAAAGTAAATGAAAGACACCATCCAGCTCTCTAGAAAGAATATAAGAAAAGTCTCTCCTATTTACAGCAAAATCTCATCTATCAAGCAAAGCCGTATTGCCCTTCAGGTCAGACTAAGGAATGCTGAAGGACTCAGAGTTTTGGAGCAGCAAGAGTGAATTCATGTACACAAAATATAGCTGTTGGTAGGTTTGGGAAGGGGCTCTGCCTAGACCTCTATTCAGCAAGTCCTACAGTTTTTGTCCAGTTTTTTCATTTGCTCCTGTATGGCTAATCTGATTATAAAAGTAATCTGTAAACCAGGCTAAAAGGAAAACTAGGTGTGCAGGATAGTGCATTGAATGGAACAAGTGACAGAGCCAAAGGAAGACCGCTCACATTTATGGTGACATTCTTGCTTGAGTGGTTGTTGGCTCCAACAGGGGTGGGTGATGACAGGAAAAAATAGAGAGTAATACAGGGAGCACTAATCAATTCACAACACTTTTTACCAAAATAAAACAACACTCATGTTGCAAACCTTCTAACTGGTCACAAATTGTTTCCTGTTGAGGTAGCCTCAACTCATGATATATTCCTAATCACAAGGTCTAGTAGAAACAAAATGTTTCAACATTTTATTATTTCTCAATGGTTCACGATGTTTTTTTAGGATTATTACAGCTGTTTTCAGAACATTAAATTTTTTCCACACAACAACTTACACTATTTTAGGGATTTGTACTCTCTTCTCATGCAGTACATCTTTACTCAGCATTAAAATGATCTAAAGTGAATCACATGCTGAAAAAAAAATACTTTCAGAGACTGTAATTGTCAGTCAATGATTTTGCATTCCCTGCAGAAATCTCACTAAAAAAAGAAAATGATAGATGAGGATATACATCTCCTTCATTCACAACATTTTATATTGGCAGTCTTGCTCTGGGATTTCAAATGCCCAATTTAGCTGCCTCTGCCATTGGTATCATCCTGATTAATAATGATTACTGCTCTACTAATAAAGATAGCTATTTTTGAGAAAGATACTCAATTTAGAAAAACATTCAAATTTCTCTCTCTAGCAATGGAGCATCACTAGAAGACAGAGGAGGAACAAACATTCATTTTGACTCCAAGGCAAGTCAAAATGTGCATACCAAATGAATTAGGAATTGCTCAGTGTTACCTTGGCCCTATTCAACAACTAGTACGATTATGCACGTGACAAAGAATGAAAATATGCCAAGGCAGAGAAATGGATAAGAAAAAAGTGTTTCCCATTGTTAATGGACAAAAATACCCTATGTTATTGCTTGGAA